TTACTTGAACAACAATTAAAAAAAAAAAACCGAGAGTGACTCAAATCTATACTCACCTGCCTCTTCCCTATATTCAGTGCGTGTCCGTTCCTTACCGCCCCCCCCCCCGCCCCCGCACTGACCTCCATATCTCCCTCATCTCTCACCAAGACCCAGGGAATGAACGGTCTTAACTCCTCTGGGGTCTTCTGGAGACACAGGATGTTACATCCAGCGTCCTCAGAAACCTCAGTGTGCCCCTCCCCCAGCCCCCTAGTAGAAAGTCTAAGCTTCTCTCAAGGTGCTTAAGGCTTTGCCTACCATTCTCTCCCCTCATTTGCTCGGTCATGCACTAACATGCTCTGTCTCCTCTTAAATGCTGTCAGCCCTCCTTGGGCCTTTGCTCCAGACACTCCCACAGCAGCAGGGCCCTTTGCACCATTACAGTCCTGTGGTCAAGGATCAACCCAAGGGCACACCACAAAGCAGGCCGCCTCCCTGGGGCCATGGCAGCTCACGCATTTAGCTCTGGTTTCCCTCCGTCCTGCATTCTAGAATGTGGTGTAGATCCACCCCTCTCTCCCACCTACTTCATAGCTTTCCACACACAGGCTAGCATCATGTACCTCTGACCCCCACAGAACTTCTCTCTAGAAGGGTTCAATGTCTGGCTATAAATCAGTGAAAAATCCACATGTATATTATCCAAGGCAAAATCCCACCCAGTTTTCTTCTAAATCCTCTTCAGATGTATTCTGGTTACTTTATTAAATCACCTACTGTCTTCAGGCAGAAGTCAGTGACCAACAGTGTGAAGACAGCTCACATTTCCTGAGCCCTCACAGGCAGCAGGTGAGGCAGGTGTTACTGGCTTCATTTAACAGACCAGGAAGAGATCAAAAGAACCTTCCATGACACATTTGGTGAGCGGCAGAGCACAGAGACTCAAGAACAAGACTCCAAAATAAAACGCAAAACTCTTGTCCTCGAGACACAATCCAGTTGGATTGATGAGACAAATACAGGAAAAAACAAACAGCAATGAAGATACTTTTATCTAGAGCAGGATTTCTTGACCCCGGCACTACTGACGTATTGGGCCCAACGATTCTTTGGTAGTGTGAGTGCATACGTCCTGCACGCTGCAGGGTGTAAGCAGCAGTCCTGTCCTTTACCCATTAGACACCAGTGGCTCCCACACCGTCAGGTGTAAAAACCAAAAACGCCTCCAGACACTGGCCTGTTTGAGAACCTCTGATCTAGAGCAACTGCAAAGCTCACCTTAACAACCATGGCAATGATAAAATATCACCATTAAGGTCCCTCCCAGCCTGTTCTCAGAGGCAGGTCTGCAGTGCCCCCCAGCAGCTGTGCAGGGCCTTTCCACACCCAGGCCCGACTTCCTTGTTGTGCTCTCCTCCCCACATTTCCCCTTCAAGCTGACTTATCTCTTTTCACTCCGATGCAGAATATGTCTCAATAGGATGCCTTAAAAATCCTTTCTGGAATGAGATAGGGTAGGGAAGAAAAATAATGCAATCACTGGACAAGAGAGAAAACACACTACAAGGCAATGTGATTAACCGACAAATTATCCCATTATTGAAAATCTGCCAAACATCTTTTACAACACTGCCATCTGTGTGAGCCAGAGGCCAAAGCGGAATGAGCATTCTTTCAGTCCTGGTCCTTCTGTTGAGAATGGGCTTCACGGAAGAGCTGAGCATCAGTGCCGTCTCCCCAGGGGTGAGAATTCCAGAAAAACTCTTAAGAACAAAGGGCCAGGGATGGGAAGAACCCACCTCAGCGAAATTTCCTAAATACAAACTACATTTTTCTACAACCAAAAACCCAATTGCTTTTACTTTCTGACTAATATACAGCCATAACCTAGCTAAGAAATGACCCTTATGTTAGCCAAGCCTAAAATAAAATAAAATATATAAGGAATATTGTATCTAAGAATACAGAGTAAAATATATGTGTGAATAATGCCTGGCAGTTAACTTCTATATAAGTTATAAATATTAGTAGCTCTTATTATATACCTTAAGGCACTTGAATATTTCAGTACAGGGTAAAATGACAGGGATGAGTCTTTATATTTATTCAACTTTACAAGGTCCAAAAGTAGAATTATAATCCCAAGATTTTACAGCTAATAAACTATGACTTCTCTAATTTCATATTCAAGGCTCTCTTCACTCTGGTATGATAACTTCAAGATTTATTAACTTACCGATCTTTATAGAGCAGAGATTCTCAAATGGGGGTGATTCTGGCCACCAGGGGACACTGGCAATTCCTGGAGACATTTTTGGTTGTCACAACTGGGGGGATGGGTGCCACTGACACTTGATGGGTAGAGGCCAGCCATGCTAACATCTTACCATACACAGGACAGTCCCCAGAACAACTGTATGGCCCCAAATGTCAACAGTGCTGAGGCTGAGAAAAGGTCAGCCTTAGAGAAACCTTAGAGAAAAGGTCTTACGATTACCAGCCAGGAAAATGAAGTCTGAAAGTATGCCTACACCTCAACATATACTTCGTGCTCTGCCTTAGCCATGCCTTGTTCTATCTGCCCTTTCCACCCTGTCTGAAGGGATCCTGCCACCACAGGGCAATTGTGGGCTCTCTGCTCCTTCCCTCTTTGGACTGTCAGACACCAGGTAAATTATGTTCAAGCCACAAAACAAGTCAGGAGACATAAATGCAGAGACAGGAAGCCAGAAAGTGGTATGATGCACTCTCCAAAGTCCCATGGTCATTTCAGTTTGTTAATCCAAAGCACCCAACACTCTGGTTTCTGGCTAAGCAGCTTCTGCCCCAGCAGCCCTCACTATTCACTCATTTTTAAAGGACTGCTCAGTGGGACTGGCCGGAGACTCAAACCATCAGCATGTCCTTCAGGATTGTGGTAATTCACCCTGACAGTTCTTCTGAACACTTGATGAGACAAAGGTTGATTTCAGAAGATTTTAAAACAAAGGAAATGTAACAAAGAACACGTATTAAAAAAGTTAAACCCCAGCTAGCCAGAGTCTCAATTATTTTTTTTTATTATGTCCTGCATTTTATAGTCTGGGGTGCACTTTTGTGTCTACCTTCTCAACCACACACCACAATTATATTGAGAAGAAGGCAGAGCAGAAATCATCAAGTTCCATCCTAGGACTATGACGAGGCCATAGCAACAAGGGGCCCAGGCCCACTGCTCTGCCCACTCTGCCAGGCTGGGATGTTTGGCTGCTGGCCTGGCTGGAGACTCTCACTCGTTTGTACCTAGATAATCAAGTAAGCATCTTGACATATGCTTACACAGCACAGAACTTGTATTCTATGAAGGAGTTTATCACAAAGTTAGAAATTATATGGCAGGAGGTGGAAGAGACACTGGAGAAAGGTTGACTGACCACACACACAAACTGATCTGGGAAAAAAATTTTATTTTAAAATAAAAATTCCTTCAGCTATTCACTTATATAACTAGTTCATAATGAAATCTTTCTGTTTCTGATTCATAATTTATAATTACTGATCAACTGCCCAGTTCTCCAGGGAAAGGTCTGCATACTACACATCAAGAAACGCTCTTGCAAACCAACACAGGAGAAGTGAAAAAAAGTTCACAGCTTTTGCTTTCATGCACAGTAAACCTAGCTGTGTCTTCATAAATTGCAGAAACCTCAGTTTTCTTATCTGTTTTAGCCAACACTTATCATATGCCCTAAGTGTGGCAAGGAATACAGAGGGAAATGAGGCAGTCCTTACCTGGGGGGCATACGGAAAGTACACCTACAGGGACAGACCTCATCTAGTGGAGTAACTCAGGAGCAATGGTAACAAAAGGAAAAGGTGACCTCACCTAGACCCTGAAAAATGAGAAAGGTATCACACAAGGAGATGGAAAGGGAGAGCACTTTTGACTGACATCTGTTCAGTTGCAGTAGAGAGCAACCCTGAATCAGGTTCAAAATTGAAAGACTACATGTACAAAAGATGCAAAAGCATCTACTCTACTCGCTCTAAAAGAACACTGGAGCTCCTTCTGGTCACACTGCAAAGTAGAAATGAGGAACACGGCAGAATCGGGGTGACCTGCCTACCAGTAGTCTGCCTACCAGTAGCCTGCCTACAGGCTGGAATCAGGGCTACAGGCCTTATGCTGGGGAGTGCTCCCTGGACTTCCGTGCTGTGAGGGAGGGGAAGGGGGCTCTCTCCCCTCATCTCCCTGGGGGGGGGGTTTAAAACCAACTCCTATAGCTGCCAACAAGGCAGAACTATGACAGCACTGCTGGTTACCAAAGGCTTCTCTGTACCACAGTCTGCTCTCAACCAGAGGCCTGGAAGAGTTGATTCCCCCAGGGTGTGCACTGGGGCACTGCCACAGAACTAAGGAAGCCCCTCCCTTAGAACACATTTGTATCCTATTGGCCTCAACCCAAGTCACCCTGATGCCCCAGCTCAGAATAAACGTGGTTCCACTGGCTGGGGAACCTCAGCCCTGAGCCATGGTCCCCGAACTGGGGGGCACTGTCACCAGCTCCAAGCCTCAGCCGGAGCAATAACAGTCTCTCCAGCATGGCATAGACTTGCAGATTTCAGGTGTTCACCCTGCCAGTGAAAGGCTACAAGGGGGGCTGCGCCCAGGTTTCACACATCGGACCATCTGAACACATCCTGGCTGATGCAGACGAGTAGCAGGAACTGGCTGGCGCCCAAGGGCCGCTCCCCAGAGCCAGGCCGCGGCACCTCCACGGACCACGGGTGGGCGGTCGAGGGCTCAGCCAAAGTGCTGGGGGCAGAGGTAGACTTCGCTGCAGCCAGGCGGAGCACGTGCCGGGGCTCGCCGATCTACACGCTCCGAGGACAAAGTCCGTTACCTCCCGCCCCGCGGCTCTGGCACCGGGCACAGGCGTCGGGAGCGAGGCAGGCAGGGCCTGCGCGCGACTCCGACTCGACTCCAGACCCGGATCTGAAGCCAGGCTCGGCCTCCCGAGACCCCTGCGTTCACTTACCATTGTGGTTGACCCAGGTCGGCTTCAGGAGCTTCATTGTTCGGCCGCCGCCGCCGGGTTGAGGCAAGAGCCGCGTCCTTCAACGCGCGCGGGCCATGGAGCCACCGCCGCCGCTTCCTCCCGCGCCGCCCGCCTTCCAGCTGCCGCCCGCCCCGTGCCCTCAGTGCCGCCAGGCCATCGCCGGCTCGCGCCCCAGGCCGCCGCCACAGCCGCCTCCCGCGTTCGGTCGCCACCGCCGCCGCCACAGCCGCATCCCCTGCGCCGCTCCTCCTCCGGCAGCTCCCGGGCAACGCCGGAAGTCACGGCTTGCACCTGCCAAATCGCCTCGGCGGGAAACCGCTCCCCACGCGGACGGGGCCGCCAAAGCTCCTCTGCCGGCAGGGGCAGCGCAGGGCAGCTCCGCTTCGGGTCCAGCCTGGACCTAGCAGCAGAAGAGGGGAAGGGGGAGGGTCGGCTGGGATCTTGGAGGGCGACCGGGGCCTCGGGTTTCAGCCCAGGTCGGCGGAGCCAGACAAGATCGGAGTGGCGTGGCCCGCCTCTCTTCAGCTCTACCACGCTAGTTAGGACCGACTAATTAACTAGCTTCCGTCATTCATCAATACGCGTTTTATTGGGCATCTCGCGAGCGCCGTGCCACGTGCAGCCACCGGCGGGCGGCCGCGGTCCCGGGGTTGCAAGGATGCAGGGGGGTGAGCCAACCCTGCGGTGGGACTAGGGGAGCGCCGAGGCGGCGCGTTTATTGGAAGATTGGGGACCTTTTTCACAGACGTGGACACTTAGACCTGGAGTGGAGGGCTATCCCCACGGCCACTTCGGCAGGACTGAGGAGTCTTGGCCTTCGCAGGGGTGCACCCCGACGAGGTAGGGGAGTGATGTTCGGACTTGCGACGCAGGACCGAGGCAGAAGAGAGGACACACACGGCCGCCTGGGGCAAGCTCTGGGAAGGGCCAGGAGTGATCCATTCCGCCGTTCTGGGCGTGCCCGCGCGCCGCCACTACGTCCGGGCCCTCCTAGCGTGATCCCGCACGCGCGAACCGCGCCCCAGGGCGGAACTAGGGAGTGTGGATCGACAGCACGGCCGGACCGTATCGCGAAGCACAGCGGGACGGACCGCGGAGGTCCGCGCAGTGAAGCAGCGGGTTGGCTGCCTTAGCCGTAGCTATGGCTGCTACGGTGCTGGGATCTACCGCGCGCGCTCTGTGCTCGTCGTGCTGGTGAGTACGGACCTCAGACTCGACGCGGGGTGCCCGGGGCACACGCGGGGGACTCCGTACTGGCTAGCACAGGCCTTGCCTGCGCTTCCTCTGCAGCTGCCCTTGTCCACGGATATCTAAGAAGGTGGCAGATCCCGCCTCTTTCTGTAGCTGAGAATTCTACGATACTGGCTGGCAGGACCTTGCAACTGCTTTTGGGTGTGACCCGGGGATTTTGAAAAAGCTCCCTCATTGACCTTGCTGTCACATCTAGAAGTTTTAAGTGCTTTAGGTTTTGAGGGCACTGTTAAAAAGAAAGGGGAGGTTGGGTTTGTTTATTGGGGGAAAATGAGATATTTATACATACTCTTATCTCTTTCAGGCGACTGGGAACTTGGCAGACACAGATTAGAGACACCCACCAGCGAGCCTCATTGCTGTCCTTCTGGGAACTCATTCCCATGAGGTAAACTTAACTGGGGCGGGGGGCGGGGGGCGGTCAGCAGAACATAGATAGGCACTTGAATAAAACAAAGCAAGACTAGTCTTTGGTTTACAAAATTAGTAGCCTACAAGATTTCTCAAGTTAAATTTGGCTAGATGTTTTAATGTCTTTTCAACATTCTCTGTTATGCTGTGTCTATAATCAGAAAACAAAAAATGTAAAAGTAGTTTAAACAAAACTTTAATTAGCTTTGAATGGATTCTTGTGTCTTAAAGGGCAAAGCATAAACTTCTGTTTCTCCATGGACCTTCCATGTCTGACTCCCTGGAGAAGTGAGGGGAGGTGTGAGGACCAGTTTTTCCACCTGGAACTCTGGATGCTTTCGAGAGACTTGATTCAAGAAATCTGGTCTTGCTGCTAAGAGGATTTGATTATTCCTAATAGTAAATTACCACCATGGGAAATGCATTCCTGAGTGTAAATTAGACTTTTGTGAATACTCTAGGATGAGAACATTAATTAAGAAATCCCTCAAAGTAGGGACATGCCAGTCATTTTTATGCTGTTTTACTCTTACTGAAATCATTCTTATAAATCAGAAATTCATTTAAGATATGAGTAATTAGCTTCTAGTTCATCAGTTGGTATTTTCCCTTTTCAAGGCACACCTGTACTCTAGCACCAAAGATGAGCACTTCCCTTTAATTTACACCCTGATGACCCCTGAAGCTTTTCTACCCCTTCCTGGGTTGACAGTGCCCACACGGTTCTCACAAGGACCCTGGGGTGGGGGACATCTCCCTGCCACACTCGTTTTACAAGGTCAGGGTCATGTACACACAGTCCACTCCCCAGTGAAGAGCTCAAAGCTTGGGGTACTTTACCTAGTGCCATGTTTCAGGATGTTTGTGAGACTGAAGAGGAAAATTTTTAATGTTTGCTTTATCCATTAGAGCAGAACCTCTGCGGAAGAAGAAGAAGATAGATCCTAAAAAAGACCAAGCTGTGAGAGACCGTTTGAAAAAGAGGATCCGACGACTAGAAAAGGCTAGCCAGGAGCTAATTCCCATTGAAGATTTTATTACACCTGTGAGGTTCTTGGATAAAGTGAGGTAAGGGTCCTCTAGGGTTGAAGTCCTCAGGGCAAAGGAGTTCATGGCCTAAAGGTGATTGTATCTGCAGTTCATGCCAGTGATGGGAAGGGGTCAGTAGGCTTAGGCTGACTTGGGCTGAGTCCTTTTCTCCTTGATTATGTCTCGCAGGAGTTGGAAAATATTCCTGGGTGGTGCTCTTGAATGGCTGAATGTAGGAAAGAAACTCAGAATAATTGTCTGATAAGCCAGACCAGAGACTTGAGTGAAGTTCTTATCAGCGCTGCTCAAAAATTCATAGTTGTTCTTTTGGAAGAGGTTGTATTTGTGACTGTTGACTTGGGCCTTGGGTCTGCAGGCACTGCCCATCCTGGTGGCAGAATGCCCTTAGCCTCTTGCTTTGTGATGCACATGCTCACAGTTGTGTGTGCGCAGGATTACTGCCTTATAAAAGTATGTGGTATCTGTAAAGTAGCAGCACCTTGCCATACAAGTGGGACACTGCAGGTGTCATTTGGTACTCTGGGGCTGATAATAGGCTCTCGACTCCCTGGGATTTTGGCGTCTGTTTTCATTATACCATTTCATTTTTCTCCAAAGTCACCTCTTACCAAAAGTACTCCCTAAGAAAGAGGAAGTGCTACCATAGTCTCCTCCGAGAACCAGTGTCTCTTATCTTCAAGTAAAGCAAATGTCACTGGCTCGTTGCATCAGTAGCAGCTGCCACCACATTGAACATTCCATTTCTTAATTTGTCCCAAACTTTCAGTTCCTTTCGTAAGTTCCATCTGTGTCTGGCAGGGAGTATGCACAGGCCATAAGCAGTCACCCAGACTCCCTGGTCAGTGCTGCCCAGCTCACACCTTTGGATTTGTGTGTTCCTAGACAGCGGCCTCAGGTAGAGCTCTCCTTTGAGGAGGCTGAGCGGAGAGCTTTGCTTCTGAAGAAATGGTCCCTGTACAAGCAGCAAGAGCATGAGATGGAGAGGGAAGCCATCAAGTCCATGCTTGAGGCTCAGCAGGAAGCTCTGCAAGAGCTGAAACTCACATCCCAGGAGCTGCATGGGGAGGCCATCAAGAGGGACCCCAGTCTGTTCCCCTTTGAGAGAGAAGGGCCAACTTACACACCACCAGTCTCCAACTACCAGCCCCCTGAAGGCAGGTACCACGACATCACCAAGGTATACACACAAGTGGAATTCAAGAGGTAGAGCTGGAGGCAGCTGTCTGAACACTCTGCCCTTCAGAGCCAGAATGACCAGGGCTCAGGTCTGCTTGTCACAGTGTGAGCCATGCTGAGAATAAATGTAAGTGTAATCAAGTGTTTCTTTGTGTTATGATGGGGTCAAAATTAATTCATCTGAGGATGGATACAGGTGAGAGATACTGTCCTTCCTCACCAGGTACTGGGGAGAGGATGACCAAACCTTGACCATTGTCCCCCAGTAAAAAGGTAGATGCCAGTTCTGTGGGGCAGATGCCCCCAGCAGGAGGCATAAAATGATCCCAAGAGACGGGTGAAGGATGTGCAGGCTGTGTGCACTGTATCTTCATGGGTAGGTCAGGCAGGACATATGAACTTCTTCACATCAGCAGCAGCAGGGCCAGCTTCGAATTTTAAGCTGGGGAGGGAGGCTGAAGAAGGTGGAGCAGGCCAGGGACACACTAATGAACAAAGCTGCTGTGTCCCGCAGGAGGGTGGGACCGCTGGGGCTGAGGACTCTTACTTGAGTACTGTTAGTCTGGGATGGTGGCTGTATTAGGGTGCTGGGGTTGCCAGAACAAAGTGCCAGCCTGCATGGCTGGTTTCTCTGAGGGCCTCTCTGGCCTCTAGATGGCCACCTTTTTGCTGTGTCCTCACGTGGTCATCCCTCTCCAGCCATGCGGGGTTACGGCCGACCTTAACGACCTCACTGTAACACTGTCTGAGTACATCGGATGAGAAAATTTAACAGTCCCAACAACTAAAACTGTTGATTTACATTTCAGCTTCTCTTTTAACTCTAATGTGTAAAATAGCCTTTGACATACTCCACATTTTCTAAAAATGACCAGGGGAAATGTTAAGCAGACCAAAATTCCAGGTTTGGGTTTCTTCAGCCAAGAATCCATGAACACTTTTTTTTGAAGGTGGTGTGTCCTTAGCTGTGTGCAGTTCTTAAAAACTAGAATCTCACCTCCTGTGAGCCTAGGAGGTGCAGCATGCTGGTCTAGAGGTACGCCCCATCTGTGTCTGCAGAGGACCTGAGCGAGTGAGCGGGCCATAGCCAAACCTGTGTGAGCAGTGGCTGGCCATGCATGGTCCTCACCAAACCAGGGCTAGGCAAGGTGTTCTTGGCAGCACGACCACTTAGTTTCCTCATTCTGACACCTCTGTGTGTCCCCAGGGGTCATAGCTACCACTCAAGACTTGACTTGAGAATTCTAGACCTCAGGATGACCATCTGCTGTGCTGCTGTCCCCCTGGGAGGTGGGCGGGAAGAGCATGAGACAGCCCAACCTGTAGCTCGCAGCAATTTGCGATGGCCCTTGGCTTCCTGAAAGCTGTGCAGTGGGCAAAACTGTCTTCCAGAGCAATGGCAGCAGGGGGCCGGGAATGCAGGTGAGGGCTGGGCAAGTAGCCCTGGGGATGTGGTGCTTGGTGTTTCAAGCCAGGCAGAAGCTCCCAGGTACTACTGGAACGTTCAGGCAAGTCAGAGTCCTTAGGGTCGCATACAACAGCCCCACTTGAAACAGACCAGAGGAAGCTGTGCAAAGGTGCTTGTCACTTGTCTTTCTCCTCCTGTGGCAGAGGGAGATGCCAGTCTGCAGGGGGGCTCTGCCTTGGGGTCCACACCAGGGTGTGCTTTCGTGCAGCCTGGACTCTCCTACGCTCGCTCTCACAGAGGGACCGCTGTGCAAGGGAGACCTTGGTCACTTCACACCTCACATGCCCTTGTACCTCCCTCCTCATCAGCCACTTCCCAAACACAGACAAACAGAACGTATGATACACACCACTCTAAAACTCTGCTTCCATCTAATGCACCCTGGCGATTGTTCCATACTAGCATGCACAGAGCTAGATCATACTTTATCCTGCGCTACTGTGAGAAACTACAATTGACCTTTGAACAACATGGGGTAGGGGTGCCAACCTGCCCCATAGTTGAAAATCTGTATACTTTCAGTTGGCCATCTGCACACACAGATTCCCAGTTGTGGGTGGAAAATACAGTTGACCTCTGAACAACACAGGTTTGAACAGTGTGAATCCACTAAAAAAAAATCCATAATAAATGAACCCATGCAGTTTAAACCCATGTTGTTCAAGGATCAACTGTACTGTGTAGATCACCATAATTTCACAAATATCTTCTCTCAGGTCTCAGGGCTTGATGCCTTTGGTTGACCTGATAAGATTCAACTGCTAAGGCTACTTGGGAGCTGAGCTGGAAGAAAAGACAAGAAAGAGTCTGAAAGAGTGGCCCAGGGGAAGGAAGACCAGGTAAGATACACATGTCCAGGGAGCCCTGGATGGGCAAGGAAGAATCCAGACCACAGATGCCACTCTCCCCAAAATAAACACACATCACAACTGTGACACGGCTTCCTGGCTAGGTGCCAGGAGCTATGCTGGCCTCTTTACACATGTTAATTTCAGTTTTCTTCTTAAGCTCTATTGTCTCAAATAGATGTTTTTGTTCTTGTTTGAAAAGTGATCAGGAACCCAAAGTAGATGTGAAACACTCCCAGACCTTCACCCCCGAGGTGAAGTTAGCAGCGTCCCCCACACACTGTTAGGCCTAAATTTTTAGAGCCATTACATGTTTCCCTAAAGAGGGAGTAATCTTCTACTGGCTAGTGTATATTTTCCACTTTTTTCACCAAGGCATCTTTCTGTGCTCGGATATGTTAGTAGCTACTGTTTTTAACCAGGACATGTTCCCACCTATTCTTTAATGGCTATGTAATACTCCACTGTGTGGAAGAAGTTATTTGGTCAAATGTCTGTCGGAGTAATTTAGGACACTTTCGGTTTTTGCACTATCACAAACAGTGACAAAGTGGCCATTTTTGAACTTTTAACTGTGCTCTGTTACCCAATTACTTCCCTAGTATAAACTTCTAGAGGTAAAATGGGTCAAAAGGTATGCATTTGACCTTAGTCGGAACACTGGACACCACCAATGCTGCGCAAGCACTCCTGCCTCCCCAAACTCCTACGGACGCCTCCGACATGGGCTAGGTGGAAACCACCCACTCTCATTTCAACTTCTATGCCAGGCCATGGGGGCTTTCTTTTTGAATGAATGCCTTCTTCGTGTCCTCTGCCTACTTTTCTATTCTAAAGTCATCTCCATTTTTCTTACTGATATATAAGAGCTCATATATATATATATATATATATATAAAGGTTACTAAATCTCTTGCCATACAGGCTACAAGTTATCTTTTCCATTTTTTTTGGACTTCCACTTACTATAGATTTGTCACATTTTCTTTTATACAGTAGCTTGGTTTCTGTATCAGTTTGTTTCTTTCAATAATAAGATACACTTAACAACATTGAAGCAGCCACCAGTCCTGCAGGCTACCCTTCCCCAGGTACCTCCCCATGCACCCTCACAGCTTCTATCCATCTCCCCACCCACAACAGCTCTGAGGCACCACTGTGCTCTAGAATGTAGGTGCTAGGAGTGTAGGTGCTCTGTTCTCAACACTCCTGTATCCCTAAGAGTGCCCCACAGGATCAAATATCTGCTGAATGCATGGACAACTAAAACCACCTCCTTACTGGTCTCTGTGCGCTCCATAATGTACTCTCCCACCCTGGCAGCCAGACTGATATTTTAAAGGTACAAATCAAATCATGCTTCTCAGCACACATTTAGGCTAGAATCTAAGGGTGTCCAACCTTTTGGTGTCTCTGAGCCACACTAGAAGAAGAAAAGTCTTGGGCCACACATTAAATACATTGCAACATGTAACCACACAAAAAATTCTCAGTATGTTGTAAGTCAATTTACGATTTTGTGTTGGGCCGCATTCATAGCCATCCTGAGCCTCATGAGGCCGGCGGGAGGCAGGTTAGACACCCCTGGACGCCCACCAGGTGTCTGGTACCTTCCCAGCCTCATCCTACCCTTCTACAGTCCACCCTCCTTCTGCTCCACGTTCCTGGACCTTGTTCCTTAGCTTGATCCCCTGAGGCTGTAAGAGGGCTGCTAAGGCTGGTTCCTGGTCTTTCAGGATTCAGCAATATCAACACCTTTGCAGGTAAGGGGACCCTCCTCTTTTTCCAAACCAATCTATACCTCTTTTCCTTCAGTGTCTGAAAACCGCGTTAATAGACTAATTTTTGCTATTTCTCGAAAGTAAGAAAACACACAAAAAAAGGGAGGTCTCCGGCAGTGCTCTTTTCCAGAGTCCGGGGACCTGGGACGTGGTCGGGATGGCCTGTGCACTAGGGTGCCCCGCCATCCGCCCAGGCAGCTCAGCGCCACCCCCGGCATCCCGGGCGCACCTGGGCCTCGGCGCTCCGTCGCTCCTCCCACTCGCGGCAGCTGTCCAGGTCGCGTCGCCATTGCTCGCAGGCCGGCCGCTCGCCGTGGACGTAGTAGTGGTGCAGGAAGTGCCCAGCGCTGCGGCAGAGTTTCCACTCGGCGCGATAGGCTTCGCAGGGGCGTGGCGGCTGCAGTGAGAGATGCACCTAAGACGGGCGCTGTGCCGCCCACCCGGAACCGGTCCCGGGAGAAAGCTCTGGTAAGCTGGTCACACGGTCTGACAAGGTCTTGCAGGTCCCTGGTGCCCACCACACTTACCTGCCAGCCGTCGCCCTCAGCCATGTCAAGAGGAGTACCAAACCCTTGCCTGCTCAGCCCTCTAGCCAATGAAGATTGATTAGGCCAACACCACGTGAGAGACCGAGGAACTCAGATATGACGATTTAAATCCTCGCCACCTCTTTCAGTCGCGCCAATAAACAAGACATCTAAGTGGGGCAGCCAATAACAGCTGGGGAAGGTGGTGCAGGCGAGGAGGGGCGGAGCCCTGTGGATGGGCGTGTGCCAGCAGGGTGAGGCTAAAAGCCAGCAAAGAAACAGTGTAGAGGACGTCCGCCTGCTGCTGGGCAGGCGTCCCAGCGCGCACAGCCACGTTAAGTTGGCTGTTTCTGAAACCACTCAGGCCAGTTCTTTTCAGCGGCTATTATTTCATAAATTTCAAAGATTGGATTTATTGTAATTACGTAGTGTGCAGTAAGCACATACTGTTGCGAACCTGCCAAGTCTACTGCTGTAGTGTCCACTCAAGGTCAGAGATGAACTCACAAAATAATCGGGGTTGCCTGGGGATGACATATGTTGAGGGTTGAGTATCTAGGGTGCCGGATGAACTCCGGAGGGAACCTAGGATGGAAGTGAAGGGCTTTCTGAGCAAAAGAATGGAGGCTGTGACCAGCACGATACAAGTCCAGAGATGGCTTGTATGATTAGCAGTGAAAACTTTGGAGACAGGAAGTTCCACAATAGCAATGCAATGGTTCCCTGACTTCTGCGAACCTAATCATGTGCTGGGTCGTTGCTGGGCCCCCTCTAGGACTGAGACTGGGTCAGAAGCCCAGCAAATTGCAATGTTATCAGGAGTCCTGCCATGTTGGCTCACAGACCAAGCTTGGAGAAGACACTGTGTGACAATAAGGCTGCAGGCCAGGGTACAGCAGTAATGACCAGAACATTTGCTCCAGGTGACCCCACTGTGTTACCAGATCCATCAACTGGGGTCCACTCCTGTCCAGAGCAGAAGAGTGCATCTCCAGCAAGAGAACAGTAGTGATTTCAATGCATATACAGTAAGTGATGCTTAGTTCAGACAAAAACCCAAGGCCAGCTTCTTTCTTTATTGTGCATAAATGACAATGTGTCAGGCAATGAGACCCTGACAGTAGAGGCTGCCTACCTAGCATGGGCTTCCACATTTGCTGGTGAAGCTGAGACCCCTTAAGTAAATGGTCAGGTAGGTCACAGTAGCACTCCACATTCATCACCAGTGGTGTTTTGGGCCACAAGGCCCAGTCCTGGTCATCATGACAATCATCAATGCTTATTCACTGAGGTTACATGGGTGGGCTCTAGGGCTCATGTCCTGGAGTGGTGCATCCTCTCCTCCTCTGAGTGCTGGGGGGAGCCCTGTGCAGAGGACCCCTCTGCCCACAAACAGCAGATCTGGTACAAGGTGGAGACCCTGCTGGGCCTGGCCATCCCCACCCCAGGGGTCAGAGAGCCTCATTCCTCCCTACATTGTCCGGGAGAAGCACCCCAGAACAGCTCTTTTCTAACAGCAGGATGGAACGAGGGTCTCCTGCAAGCAGGCCTTCCTCCAACTCCTGGTCAGTGTCCCCATCATCAGTTCGTGTTGGCACTTAATCAAACATTTGGAGGCAATCCAGGTTTTAGTCATTCCCTGTTTTTATTTGAAATTCTTCATTTGGAATTATTTTCAAGGGACAAAAAAGATTAATGTAACTGGATTAACATGTCAAAAGATCTCACTTTATAGAAAGTGAGGATCTGAGACCAAGACAAAATAAAGACAGGCCAACAGAACCTTGGATAACTTAGTACTTTACACTGGGAGTGGGGGATTGGGGAGGAAAGAGAGGACTGTTATCTTTAGCTTTTATTTATTCTAATATTCACATCTGTGCTTCACCACGAAGGTTTCCCCCACCATAGTTATTTCCAAATGAACTCTAAAAGTAGAAATGCTTTCAGATCAGTTTTTCCTTCTAAAGAATGGTTCTTCCGGGGGGGAAAAACAATATATAAAATAAATACTTAAATTGCAGCCAGAGTAATGGAATAACAACTATTTATAGAGCACAAATCTATTTAAACCACTTTTCTCTAGGCCAACAGCAATGTCTAAGCTACAGACTGACAAAAAAGAAAGGATAAAAGAGAAAGAACACAAGTTAGAGCAAGTCAATCCCCTCCATTGAGTTTTATCAGGAACGGGGTCTCTAATTCTGCTGAGGCGGTGGGAGAGCTCCCAGGGGCTGAAAGCAAGGAGTGGCAAGGCCACCTTTGGGACCTCAGGACAGCTTTCTCTTCCCCCAATTCAAGTACGTAAAGTCCTGCTGTTCCACTTCCAGGTTAAACTCCACATTCTTAGGTAACTCTAAACAAAGCTAAAGTGACAGAGCATTCTCTGCGGTAGTCTCATCCCTGTGAGAGCCAGTAACTAAAAGCCATTATGCTGCAATTGGTGATTTTATTTTCCAATCAGCTAACAGTCCCAACTTATGGCTTTCTTCCCTTTTTACGCAATGACTGCCCTTCTCCAGAGAAAGCGACGAATCTGCCTCCAGCTTCATCCTGTGTGAAGATAAAATACTACTTTCAGAAACTTCTTGGAGGTTTATAGAAAATGCTTTCTTCTGTTACTCTTGTATTGTACCATCCACATTTTCCTTACTTCCACATTATTCATAAGAAATGTCTTTGAAATAAAAATACAAATCAAAATCAACTAAATTGAAAACACAACCACACAATCACAATGTGTCTATCATAGCCTCAAAAACAGCAGATATCTTTTATGTGTTTGTGTTGCTAGTTGGTCATCGCTAGAAAATAAAACTCATTACCTATGAAGTATACTCACCTCTTCAACCTTTTTGATTAATGGACGTGAATTTCTGATGAAAGTGATTTTACCAAGTTTAAATTCATAATTGGGAATTCCTCTGTAAAAAAGACAGAAGATGAGAAATTTCAGTTCCAGGAGAAAAGAACTCATATTCTTTTTTGACAAAGAGGAAGGCAAGCCAAAGAGATGATGAGTGTCCTCCTGGCGATTCTTGTTCTGCAGTATGTGGCTGTACTGCACGCTGCCCTTGGCCAGCCCTCCAGGACAGAACCAGTAGGCAACTGGGTCAGGGGCCTCCTCCAGACTTGGGGCCTGGCCTGCAGTGAGGGGTCCCCTGGAGGCTTGGAAGGCCCTCATCAAATCTGTCCTCCAACCTCATGGATCACCCTGGAAAGGGTACACTTGCACTAAACTCATTTCACTCCTTCAGACAGTGGGTAAAAAACCCATTTCTAGCATTTTTCTTCTGCTGTAACACACAGTAGACGGGTGTTATATTTCATCCCTGCCACCACTGTGACAGCCACCAGGCAGGGAATTGGCTCCGAGTCCCTGGATCAAACAATAGAAACACATCTCACTGAGGCAGCTCCTGCCTCCTGCTTGAGGGAAGTTAAGGTATGTGACTTGATGAAGTCACGAAACAGAAAAATAGATTACTAGTCCCCCAAGGACAGGAGGTTGGGGGGGGGGGGTGGAAGCGATTCATCTACCCAGCCAGTCTCTTTGATTCAGGCTTTGTCTCCAAAGCTGGAGTGCGCCTGCCCACCCTAGCGGTCTGGCACAGACCCTCCTTAGATGGTGATAAAGCATTAGGCTGGGGCAGAGATAGGGTAGACCCACCTTTTAATGTCTCCAGGCTTGATTGGGGAAGGGCTGGGCTCTACACCTTTTTTCTTCCCATCCAGTCTATTTCCGGAGCCAGAGAAGGCCTAGACAGGCAAGCAGCAGAGTGTGGGTGCACTGAGCCCCGAGACTGAGCACATGCACGCCCTTTGCTGAGACCACTGAAGGGTGACGTCACCCAGTCCCTCAGGATGGGCAGCTGAGAGCTCTTGACTGTGAGCAGCCCCTCAACTGCTGTGAGCTGAAGGGAGCCTCCTGGCCCGAGAGCAGCCATCCCCCAGAGGCAGCCGGTAGCCAATAATAAGCTGAAAGGCCTAGCCCTGGCCTTTGCAGGGCCACCCAGTTTGGGGCCCTGTGGTGGGCTACAGCCTTTGCTGCAACTGCCCCACAGCTCCGCTTTCCAATCCTGCCTCCTCCACTGCCCCCCAGTGCACCGCTGCCCTCACACAGACCACCCCCACGTTTTTCCCAGGGAGACTGGCTGGCGGCAGTGGTGAAGGGCCACGTTACAATTTACCTTCAAACAGTGCTGGCGAAAAGAGGACATGTTCTTAGAGAAAAAGCAAACACAGTCACATTGGCGAATCTAAGTGAAGGGGGTATGTGTGTCCACCATACTATTTTAACTTTTTGGTAGGTTAGAACATTCAAAAGGAGAAAAAGTTGTGGCTGCCTTCCAGATTTGTTAGAAGGATTCCACAAGAAAGTGGACGTCAAGTGCCATAACAGACGAACAGATGCAGTGGCAGATACATGCGTGTACAGACACCCAGAGGCCCAATCCCTGCTGGGTCCCTGGAGCGTTACACAGAGTGGCTGGGAGGAGCGGACAGCACGGCAGTAGCACAGGAAGTAGAACACGTGGCCTGGTACTCACTCGGAAGCCCAGCTCTCCGGCATAGCCACTGTGGTCAGCCTCTCCTTCCTGCCAAGGACAGAAAAATGGGAGATAAGCTTCCCAGCAGCGACACCCCAACTTTTCCTTTGGGCCCCTCATTTTTATCACTGTCTCTGCACCCAAACATCTCCTGGAGGCAAGGCTGGAAGAAAAACAGGGAATGTGGCTGCAATGACCAGTAGAGGCCAAACATGGGCCAGCAGTCAGGACAGACAGATTAGGGCACACTCCCGAACCCGATTACCAAAGAGGACACCAAACCTGCCAGGGTGAGCAGGGAAGGTGGGGAGAAAGAACTCACAGTTGATTCCTCATGCTGGACTTGTCTTTCAGGTTCTTTGTAGCCCAGTGGAGCATCAAAATCCACCTGCGTTCCCAAGGTGAAAGTGAAATTGTGAGACATGGGGGCACTCAGACTCCCCTAGCTTGGCTGTCTGTAACTGACAGATTTATGTGCAATTGTAAGAAATAACACAGAAAGATGCCCTGTATACTTTTCCCAATGGGGAAATTTTTATAAAATTATACCATAGTATCACCAGGATACTGACATCTACACTATTCAGAACTCCT